CACGGAAGTTCACCCACCACCACCGCAAGAACATCACTCACCAGCGGTAGCTGCAGAGAAGGAAGGTTCCATAATGGAAGATGCGGCCATTCAACGAGGTGGACACGAAAGGCCACAAGAAAAACTACCAGAAGCAGCAACAGCAGCGCCACCAGAAGGACTTCGCACATCTGCGGTGAGATCTTCGGAAAAAACAGAAGACGTTACTGATGAAAATGAAGAAATTGGTGAAGAGAATGCTGAAGATGAAACGAAAAAACAACAAGAACAAATACAACTACCGCAACAACCTCAACAATTCGGAGAAAAAGGACAGCAGCAGCAACAACAGGAAGAACAACCGCATGGATATCCCACAGACGATGGCGAAGTACCCAAAAAAGATAAAAACGCCGTTGGAACCAACAACAGTGATGGCAGCACCGCGGTCTCCCACGCCACCTCCCCTCTTTTGCCTCTTCTTCTTCTTGTTGCGTGTGCGGCTGCTGCTGCGGTGGTGGCCGCGTGAGAGTGAGGGAGAGAGAGCCGTGCACCGCCCGCACACACACTCGTCCTTCACTCACTCTGTGTGTGTGTGTCCCCTTGCATGGACTCTCGCCCTCACCTCATCCCACGAAGCACACACATAATGTGCCCATTGTATATATGCATGCACACCCGTGCAGGCCAGCTGGTGCTCTCTTTTGCACGACACGCACCGCTGCCGTCCTGCCTGGCTGCATGGGCGCAGCACCGTAACTGTTTTTGTTTTTGTTTCCATTGCATTGAGTGGGCGACCTCTCTCTCTCTCTCTCCCTGTGTGTGTGTTTTGCTTTACGGGAGCAATGAGAGTGTGTGCGCTGGTCGTCCCACGCTTTTTTCTTCTTGTTTTTTTCATTGTTTTTTTGTAAATTTAATTTTTTTTACTGTTTGCTTTAAAAATTTTGCTAGTCTTTTTTTGTTATTAATTTGTGCGTTTTAATTCTCTTACTCCCCACATCCCTTTTTTTTTGCTTTTGGGGGCAATCACTATGGACGTTTCTTTTCTTTTCTACTTTTCCCTCTTTAATTGTTTCTTCTGCACTCTTCCTGTGAGGGGTGCCGTGTGTTTCCCGCCCAACTGCTCCACTCGCACACCCACCGACACGCTCATGACGACGGCCCTGTGCGCCTCGCCTGCTGCACGCATGAGGAGGGGCCGCGACGAACGGCGCGCTGAGGGAGCCGTGACGTGTGGGCGTGCGACGAGGGCCGGTGGGGCGGAGCACACATTTCTTTCCCTCCTGTTTTGTTTTTTTTATTGCCAGGGCGGGCAGACACCCGCAGCGCCACACACACAGCCACACCCTGCCGCCGTGTTTTTCTTTTTCTTTTGTTTTTTTTTCTGTGGACGGGTGTGTTCTACCACCGTGCGGTGATGGAGGGTGGGGAGCTGTGCTGAACGTATTGCCATCCAGACGCGCATTCTCACTGTCTTCCTTGCTTAATGGGTGTCTGCTGCACACCGTAATGAGCGACGTGTTTCCCCCCTTTGTTTGTTTTTGCCCACACGCGGTGCCGGCTCCGCGGCTGTGCGTCCCACGGACTGCACGAAACGATGATTGGAAAAACGGGCCGGATGCCGCATGAAATGTGAATGATGCTTTGTGGGCTGGTGGAACAG